CAGGCAGGCAGACAGTGTTGTGTGCGAGCGAGCGCGTGTCTGTGAGAGAATAAAGACAAACTCAAACGTATGCATGCAAATAATTATGTAAATGTGGACCTCCTTAAATTGCGTGAAAGTGTGTTTGTGAATGGAAGGGTAAGAAGAGACATGATCCAGCGTGCATGTTTTGGGAACAAAAAACAAAAAAAAAGAGAAGAAATCAATAAAAACGCACCGAGTGGGTGTGTAGTGTTTAAGCCAACATTAGATCTATGTCCTTCCATAAAAGGGGATCTAAGATAGTCAAGTGTGTTTGTGTGTGTGTGTGTGTGTGTGTGTGTGTGTGTGTGTGTGTGTGTGTGTGTGCGCGTGTGTGCGTGTGTGTGTGTGTGAGTGTGTAGTGTGTGCCGTGTCGACCTATCGCTCCAAACGTAACACCTTAGCCATGTCTTCTACATTTTATTTATATAAAGTATTTTTAGCAGGGACATTGTTAAAAGCATTGGCGATTCAAAGTTAAGGATTTCCCTCTCCCCATCCCCTCGAGCATATATCATACTACTAACGTACTGCAATCACAAAACTACTAACTGAACTACTACTACTACTACTACTACCTACTACTACTACTACTACTACTACTTCCTACTACTAACTACTACTACTACTACTACTACTTCCTACTACTAACTACTACTACCACTACTAAATATATACTACTACAACTACTACCAACTGTGCTACTACCACTACTACAAGTACTACAACTACTACCACTACTACAACTACTAAGTCTACTACTACTACTACTACTACTACTACTACTACTAGATCTAGATACTACTGCTACTGCTGCAGCTGCTGCTACTGTGTTTACGTTTTTTGAAAGTAGGTCACAATGGAGGATCATAACTCTTGCGTGAAGCTCCCTCTGATTCGGGCACGGAGGAGTTAAGCATGGCAATGGCAAGGCTTTATTGACCCACAGTGTGCTTTATATGCCTTCAAGCCTTGACCCCGTCTCTATTTATATCTAGATCTAGGTGGTATGTTCTTTGGGGCGGAGAGAAAGAATCGAGTCTCTGTTTGTAGAATTCTGTGGTTTGGGTAGATCTTGTTTTCGTAAAGTTAAAACGGGGCGCCTTCTCATTTCAAGAGAAAAGATAAATAAACTGAGTGTAATGTGAATCTAAAGAATAAAGTTTTATTTGGATTTGACCATAAAATTACGCCTATAAGTCCCTTTGTAGTATGTTTTTATAATGTTGTGGTTGTTGTTGTTGTTATTATTGTTGTGTGCATGTATGTGTGTATTGTCTGTGTGTGTG